AGAGTGTGTTCCTCATTTATCTCTTTTCTTCACCTTCTTTTATCCCAAAATAACTGTTGGCCATTTTGGGGTGTGGGGGGGCGCGATTAGCTTTATGCTCACAAAGGATGTGAGCTCTTACCAGAACACTTTAAATAGCTGGACAACTTTGTAAAATTGTTTATGAATCTATTGTTTATCTTCCTTGAGAGAGGAAATGGCTTCCGCATATTTTGCGGCTCATTTCTCTGGCGGTCACCAGCAACTTTCCTGCTTCATTCCCATTCCGCAAAGTCCTCAAGAACCCACAGCCAGATCCCATGCGCACCTCCTCCAGACCCCAGCTTCCTCTTGTCCTCATACTACTCTCTCCTTTTTCTCCCTTTCTTCTCTTCCCTATGCCTCTTCCTCCTTCTCCACCCCATCCTTTCTGCTGTTGGTTTTTGTGTCTCGTGGCGTGCCCCTTCATCAGAGAGGAGGCCTCAGAGCACAGTGTTATGAGACTTTGGGCTCTGGGTGCAGTCTGAGTTTGAACCTAGCTCTATCACTCACTGGCTTAGTCTCTCTGCGCTTCGGTTTCTTCATCTGTAACACAGATGGAGCTATTCAGGGAATAAATGAGACAATGTACAGAGAGCTTGTAACACAAGCTTGGAGCGTTGTAAGCACTCAGGCCTTGGTAGTTAATGTTATGACTGAGAACAGACTTCACTGAGGCCCGTGCTCTTGTTCAGTGATGCTTTGACATTGACAAGGCTGGTTTATGTAATGTGATGAAAATGGAAGCAGAAATCTAGGGTCAATATGGAATTCACAGCCTCACTATTATGTTCTTCAAACTGGGGTGTTACGAAAAATAATATGAAGGAAAACAGAACACACTGGTCTGGCCAGTGTTTGCATCGGTTCTGGCTCTGGGGCACCCCTAGCATCTCAGCCTCTCCCTCTGAGGTGTGTCCTCCGTCACAGAGCCATGAGAGGGCTGGAGCCTCATGACACCACTCATTGGGGAGTTTACCCTTGTGGTGCCCCTAGGTCAAGGGAATGGCACAACCGCTCTGCTGGACACACGTCCAGCAGGGATGGGAGAGGTGGTCTTCACTGTCCATTTTACTTCTGCTCTTAAAGCTAATGTGACACTTTTTATTTCACAGACTCCCTTCTAGTAAGTGGCTTTATATCACTCTCAGATTTGTATCACTTCCTGATTTGATATCTATCAGGCAACAACTCCTTTCAGCACCTGCTATTTGTAGTACTCTGGCATTGTACAGTGGGCGAGTGGCATAAAAAATGCATAGAGTTGCTGTAACACTAAAACTACTCTAAAAAATAAAGTCTATTAACTTAAAAAGACTTTATGACCAAAAATAGCACAAAAGATAAACCATCTTCATAAGATTAAGTGTCAGGTATTGAGAGTGGGTTCCCAGGAATGGCACTGTGCCCTCGAACGGTCAGGGAAGGCTGGAGGAGGTAGATTTGAGCTAGCCCTATGGGGCAGGTAGGGTGAGGTGGCTGAAAAGGACCCGGGTACCTCCTGGATGTAGAAGTGGTGTGAACTGA